TGAAAAGTCAAGTCACATCAGTTTGGATCATTCAGTGAATTAAAAACGTTTCAGGGAGTGAACTGTTGCTTTAAAGTTTTCAAATAAACGTCACCACAGAGAATATGTGCTTTAGCATTTCTCTTTGAACAGTTATTCATTAAATAATCTCCCAGGTGTATGACCGTCTCTGTGCTTTAGACGGATTACTTGCCAAACTAAACTCCTGAGGCTGGATTGAGAAAAAATGAATTTACAGAGGGAAAATCTTGCCAGTCTAGCATATTCTAATGAGTCTCACATCAGTGATAATGTAGATTCCCCACAGGACCAGAAAGCCTTCAGAGACCCAGAAAGGACTACTTCACTGCCTCTGCAGACCTCATTTCCACGTAACACTGACATGCTTCCTTCAAATAAGAGCAAACCAGTTTACGAACTCATCTGTATCTGTAACACTTCACCATGTAACAGAAATATGACTGAACTTCTACAATGCCAGGATGTAATGTGGTTGCTGAGGGGTTCTGGGCGATAACAAGCTGATTCCTTGAGTGAGTGAAAACAAGTGAGCGAATTTGGACAGCAGAATACGCTTGTCGGTTCTGTATTTGACCCCTTAATATGGTTATGTTAAAATAGTCCCACTACAGGCAAAGCTTTAGGCTGTCAGTGAGGCAGACAAACACACAAACACACACACAGACACACACACACACAAACACACACACACACACACACACAACACACAAACACAAACACACACACACACACACACACACACACACACGCACACACACAAACACAAACACACACGCACACACACACACACACACACACACAGTCTGAGAGCCTGCAATAAACACTGAAAGTGGTGAAAAAACTGTATTTTTGACTGGTGGTGACTGTGAGTGGGAACCACAAAGCAGAGTTGAGAGGAGTGATTAAAAATGCTTTAATACTGTCAAACATACACAGTTTGTTCACCACTTTCAGTATTTATTACAGGCTTTCAGTCTGTGTGTTTCTCGGCATCACTGAAAGCCTAAGGTTCTGGCCGTAGTGGAACTATTTTCCTTGGCGGAAAGAAAACAATAAACATAATAACTGGTCAAATTTGGTCTTAAACATAAATTATTCAACATTTTATTTTTTCAACATTGTTTATTAAACTTTTTTTTTTACATTTGAACCCAGCAGTATAATAGTTTTTAATCCGTAACGCCTTCTTTCTTTGCGTGAACATTTGGGCGGCGTTATGCAAATCTTCCCACATAGTGACGTAGACATATGGAACAGTATAGTAGTTAGAACGAGGCATTTTAGGTAGGCGTGGTTAACTCTTAACTTTTATAAAGAATATCTCTTTGGATTTGAAACTTTAGTCTTTGCAACTTTACAGATCTTCTTTATGCACCAAGAGCTTGTAACACTCCAAAGAGAAAGGAAATTTTTAAATTGCATCATATGACCCCTTTAAACAATTAAACCCAAATGCAGGACCTTTTTTTTGAGTAAAAAAACTTTACAGTAAGTGGGAGAGAAAGAGCAGAGATATTTTTGAAATTGTCATTTTGTTGTGTTTGTCACTTCAGAGTCGTGGTTTCTGGTTCTTTTGCTGTGGTGGGCTGCAAGGGTCTTTGAAATAAATAAAATAATTTGGCAAGGTGACGTAGAACTGTAATCGCGGTCATGGCCTGCTTAAACTTCTTTAGATGGTCTTTCACTGAAAGATAATTGCACAACTTAACAAACAGAATAAAACATTCAACGGGTGCACTGTAACAAATTGCTATAAAAATGTTTGGTAACTGTAGTAGTAAATCAAGGTATATTTGCATTTCATATTGGTAAGCCCAGATTCATGTATCCGCTGTCTGTGGGGCACAAATGAGACTTGCGTGGGGTTTCAGCTGCGCGGTGTGCTAAAGCCTCTGCCTGCTTAAACTTCTTTAGATGGTCTTTCACTGAAAGATAATTGCACAACTTAACAAACAGAATAAAACATTCAACGGGTGCACTGTAACAAATTGCTATAAAAATGTTTGGTAACTGTAGTAGTAAATCAAGGTATATTTGCGTTTCATATTGGTAAGCCCAGATTCATGTATCCGCTGTCTGTGGGGCACAAATGAGACTTGCGTGGGGTTTCAGCAGCGCGGTGTGCTAAAGCCTCGCGGTCAGCCCGCTCACGGAGGATGTCAAGTCAAGTCACCTTTATTTATAAAGCGTTTTATACAATACTGGTTGTGTCAAAGCAGCTTTACAATGTCAAACAGGAAAATAGAGTATGGTATCAGGCCCCACGTGAATTAGGATTTTGGGGTTTTGCTGCAGAACTTGGAGGTAGAGACCTGCGCGGGATGGATTTTGGTTACACTTTATTTCGATAGTCCACTTTAGACATTCTATTAACTATAAGTAACTTTGTAACTACATGTCAACTAATTCTCATTAATTTGCAGCTACATGTCTACTAACTCTCAGAGTAGACTGTTAGGGTAGGTTTAGGGTTAGTAGAATAAGTTGACAAAGAAAGTGTTAGAAGATATTAAGCAGACAGTCTACTAATACTTTACTAACTGCTAGTTGACATGTAGTTGCAAAGTTACTTACTGTTAATAGAATGTCTATTAACGATCGATCGTTATAGTTATTGTTCTTGGTTTGAACAGGCCTTAACTTTAGGCTGTTTATGGTTGCAAAGCAAAGTATCAACATGCATTAACATACTGTAGAAACTGCAGTCACGGTTCATTTATCTGCATTTTACAAGCGGCTCATTGGATTTAAAGTTTTTTTTCTGTTATAAATATTTATACAGACCAATTGCTATTCTTTCTTGAATGAAAAAAAAACAACAAAAAAACTTTTTGATTATGCATACAAGTCAAACCAAGTATAGATAGTAAGTATAGATTATATTAATGCATGGTGCCAGACAGTTGGAAATGAAAACCAAAAGTAGCCGCCCACTTCCATCGCTGAAATCAGTCCACAGACATGCTGATTTACTTCATTTGTCTTGTTGTGCAAGGATATGGGACAACAAAATCAAACTTTCCTGTCCCTTTTCCATTTCCTTTCATCTTCACATTCTTCCATTTTCTCTTTCATCTTTTCCCTGCTCTCTCCTTGTCGGGAGATGCTAGGGTCTGTAGAACTTACCATTGGAAAAAGCGTAGCGGCTATTTTTGCTTATGTGAGGCACTTTAGCCAATCATACAATGGCCTCTAGTCTCCTTCCTTGCATCCCGCCAAAGCCGCAGCGCTAGCATTAGCCATTAAGTTTTTTGGGCTGAAGGTTGCAGGCTTGCCTTAGTGGCTGTGGCTGCGGCCAAAAGCCTAGGCAGCTCACTTGACTCACCATGACTTTGCAGGCAACGTTTTTGCACGAAGGCACCTTGTGAAACTGATTTCGGACAGGCTTCTGAGGCAGCGTAACGGTTTAATGATCTACAACAAAATAGAACGAGTTTTGGTGATAACTAAACGAATATTTAATTACCATAAGACCGATTTCTCTCCAGAACTAGCATCAAAAGTGCAAAAAGTTAGTCAGAAATATACATTTACACACAAACTGACCTCCAAACGCAACTTTCAGACGCCATCTTTATTTTTTAGCTCAGTCGTCACGGAATGGAACGCACAGGATTGTGGGATATCAAAGGCAGCGAATGATACATCTATGCTGCCTTAAAAATCAATCAGATGAAGGTATCTCACGAGACGGGAAGTGAAGCTAAATTTGGATTCGTACGTGCTTGGGCTGTTCATAAACATATCAATAAGGAGGCCACAATGGCATTCCCCCTCGCAAGCTTATTAATTAACATTTCAAAAGCTTTTGAGTGCTCATAAAAAGATAGATTTCACTCTGAAACCACAGCAGACAGACACAAGTGTTGAAACTTCACGGTTTAAACACACAATGCTATAAGAACAAGGATCACCATTGCACGGCCATTGCAATATAGTGTAAAAAGCACACATATATTACATATTTAAGAAATTCTTGATCAGACAGGTAAAAGAAACACAAGACAACTGGTAATTTTGAGCTAAATCAATAGTGCCCTCTACAGGCCCCAAGTAAATATTGCAAAAGGAATACATCCCAAAAACCCATGACATTACACCATGGTAAATGTCCAAAAAACAGCGTATTTATTGAATCATTTGTTGCTGAACACATTTACTATAGTTGTAAAAATGAATCAAATGAGGCATCCAAGTAACACTGATATGTTCCATGCACGAGTACACAACTAGGCTGTCTTTATGTAAAATAAACCCCAAAATGAACCAAACGATGCTCACAGTTTAGTTTTAATTAATAGTGAAGTGAATGTACATGTATTAATTGACAGACCTTTTAATATATCTTTACATAAAAAAGTATCTATACAGCTGTTCTGTACCGGATCATTGCATCACTAAACCTGCAGTCATTCTGTTTGCACCGTATAAAAAGAGGATAGTGTAACACTATAATTACAATTAAAACACATTTCTGATGTCAGGAAGACGAGATATACAATCAAATTCAATCTACAGCATGTCTCTATACAGTGCACAGGCCCTCTGGTGGCCAACAAAAAGTGTACCATAAAACTAGCAGTGACATGGAAATGAGTTTCATTTTATGTACCACTCAAAAATGCAAGATTTTTACAATGACTGCATGATGTAACATCAACCATTTTGTTTTAAATTGTTCAATGCATGGCGAACTATATCATCAAGAGCTGAATTTCATGAAACCTATCAACAACATATCCAAGTTGAATTGTACATGTCCAAGCAAGAATAAAAAAAAATAAAAAGAAAACAAGTTTTGCTTAAAGAAAATGAAGCTTTAGGATCATTCAAATGTTTGGCATTGTGAAAAAAAAACATTCCAGTGCTATGAAAAAATAAAAAATAAAATTCTTATTATGGTAATATGTGCTTTTTTATTGCTTTTAATCTGTGTTTATAAGAAAAAAATGTATTACAGTATTTTACTGTAATAAAAAAATCTATTACAGTAACAATAATTACCATTGATAATAATGCACATGAGAAGAAGCGGAAAAAGACAACAGTAAAACATCCAACACATTATAATAGGAATAATTTAGGGGGGGGAACTATGCTTAAATAATGAAAATAATTTCACAATGCTAAAAATCTTACTGGTATACAGGCTTAATTTTGTCCATGCTTAAAAAAAAAAAAAAAGAAGATGTTTGGGTTAAAATATGGCCTTGAAATATCTAAAGTGAAGTGCTATGTTGTTAAAAAGAGGAGAACAATTTTAAAGCAGGTGTTTTATCTGTGTGAAAAGTAAAACTATGGTAATTTACAGTAAAATGCACATAAAGAGAAAGTGAGACTGTGCGCCGATGTCCTGAGAATGTCAAAGATGTGCTTTCAGATCCACACATATCAGTAAGTGTGTGTTCAGCGTGAGAAACAGTGTTAAATGCATCTGTGTCAACAGACTTTCTTCTGTATTCCCCGAAGGTCAGGCTAAAGAAAGTCATGCACCAGTGTTAAGGTATAAGTGGGCAGCATATATCATTACACACACACATGCACGCACACGCGTGCGCGCGCACACACACACACTCACACACACACACACACACACACACACATACACACACTCAGTATCTCATAATCGCTCACCACTCAAAACAGTTTAATCACCAGTGTCATAATTTCTATAAAAGTATTACTGTTATGTACACAAGCCTATTCTTGATCTCAGAAACATGTGCACCATAAAGACAATTAAAACAGCCCAGTCCACGCAGTCCCGTGTCCTCTTCTCCCTGAAATACTCTGGCCGTGGGAATCATGGGAACTCTACGGAGCGCTGGCCCTCCAAACCCGCTCCCCAAGTGTCTGAATCAACAAGTACCAGCATCCTGCACACACCCGCATCACTTCCTCCTCCTCTTCACTCCAGAGCACTGAGTGGCCGGCCTGGGCACTCGTCAGTACAGGATGATGGGAAACAAGATGCTGGAGTGAGATGGAGGCTTTCAGCTGCAGCTTTCATCCGTCTGAGATGCTGATTACGGCCGGTGAAACCTGCGCAAAGGAATTGGAAAAACACACTCAGTATCTCATAATCGCTCACCACTCAAAACAGTTTAATCACCAGTGTCATAATTTCTATAAAAGTATTACTGTTATGTACACAAGCCTATTCTTGATCTCAGAAACATGTGCACCATAAAGACAATTAAAACAGCCCAGTCCACGCAGTCCCGTGTCCTCTTCTCCCTGAAATACTCTGGCCGTGGGAATCATGGGAACTCTACGGAGCGCTGGCCCTCCAAACCCGCTCCCCAAGTGTCTGAATCAACAAGTACCAGCATCCTGCACACACCCGCATCACTTCCTCCTCCTCTTCCCTCCAGAGCACTGAGTGGCCGGCCTGGGCACTCGTCAGTACAGGATGATGGGAAACAAGATGCTGGAGTGAGATGGAGGCTTTCAGCTTCAGCTTTCATCCGTCTGAGATGCTGATTACGGCCGGTGAAACCTGCGCAAAGGAATTGGAAAAAGACATGACATTTTCGTTACAAAGTCCAGGTGATGGTTGAAGACAATGATCATGTTCACATGCACATTATTTCCCAATTATTGCATTTAATCATGAAAAACAAAAAGGTGGCAGCCCCAAACACTTTCAATACTATTCTACGAACAACTCTCTATTTCTCGATCACTTTCAGTAAGAATGCTGTAGAAGTAACTAATGCTTTTATTCAGCAAGGGCCCATTAAATTGATCAAAAGTGACAGTATAATGTCCCAAAATATTTGTATTTTAAATATATGCTGTTCTTTTAATTAAGCATTCTATTCATTTGAAAGGTTTCTTTAGCAGCAGATCAGCATATTAGAATGGTTTCTGAAGGATCAGTTTTGATCACAGGAATAAATTACATTTTTAAATATAACCAGATAGAAAACAGTTCATTTAAATGGTAACAATATTTCAAGTGTTCATTTGGACAGCAAATTTTGATTTAGTTTTAGTCATAGTCTTTGGACTGAAATACCATTTAGTTTTAATCATCTGAATACACCGTGTTCTTACTACACGCGACGTGATAAAAAGGCATCTTTTCATGTTAATCTGAGGTTTTGTCCGAACCAGCCGCAATGCTGACGCAGTTTCTTTTTTAGAAACGGTTTCTAGTTCTGCTACGTCGTGGCTTGAAAATGTCGATACATTTTCGTCATTCAAAAAGAGTTTTTATCTCATTATCATCTGGTTTTCATCTGTGCAAAAATGTTGTTGACAATGTAATTAACACTGAATATTTCACAATATCACTGTTTTTATGGTATTTTGGATCTAATAATTGCAGGCTTGTTGAGCATGAGGACTTTCGAAAACATCAAAAAAAAAAAAATCTTACAGACCCCAAACTTTTGAATGGCTCTGCAGATACAGATATAGATCAAGATCAATGTGGATATTCTGAATAAGATCCAATATTCGGATTAATACAGACGCATGCCGTCTTTTTCAGATTAGTAACCAGGTATTGGCTGCTGGGTTATGGTGTTTACGTGAAGCATTTTACCAAATTCCCATTAATATCTCAATATTCTTGTGTGTGTAAACACTTCTTCATTTATTCCAATTAAGAAAGTGCTGAAAGTGTCAGACCTGGTGTATATCCTGCTGTTCTCATGAACTTCCATTTCTGAGCTCTTATACTCGTTCAGCTCTTTTCTTATGGCCGCCTGGAAGAGGACAAAGAGAGAACATCATGAACGCTCAGAGTATCACTATAAAACACCTTACAGTACACCTTATTGAGGATGTCGTGGTCAAATCAACATACAATTCCAATACGCCAATATGGTTGAGAAACAGAGTCTGTCAATGTCACTGTGCCTTTTCAAATAAGATATGTTTGGCAAGGAGGTTTTGTGCTTGTCAATTATGTGCAAATGTGCAAACTCTTTAGAATTTACATAAGACACCATTTAAATGCTGCTATATCAGTCACCACTAAGCGGCAGCTGCGAGCAGTGCTTGGGTCGGACCTTGTCAGCAGGTGTGAGTTTGGTCCAGGGTTTGTCGGCGCGCCGGTCGTAGTCTTGAGCGTGAGTGCTCTCCACATATTCATGAAAGCGCAGGATCTTTCTGGCCTGCAGCTCGGCCACCGTGGGCCTCTGTGACAACTGCAGACAGAGACACAACAGCATTTGTTTTCAAGTTCAGTAAGATTAGCACATACTTTCACCACAAGCAAAATAGTTTTGCCCCTAATGGAAAGAGTGTGAAAATCGTAACTTGGTTAGTTGTATTTTTTCTTCTTCCACTTTTCACTGACAGTTAAGAAGTTAAAGGAGCGAGTCGTCAAGCATTTCTATTTTAATATGTATTATATTACGTTTAGAATTTTAAAACTCTAACAGAAGTGATTTAAGATGTTTTTATTATGCAAGAGAGAGATACGAGAGATAACTTACATGAGCAAGATTTAAAATTTTAATTATTTAAACTTCCCCTGATTAACAACTTTTAACACGGGGGACACCATTCAAATATTTGTCATCTTTTTTTTTTTTTCCCCAAGTAATGGATGTGTGCCTCCAAACCTTTCTGGTCAGTCTGCGCTTGATTTCACTCCTTTCTGCCCGTCGGTCTGCTTCATTCTTGGCTGAAACAGAAGAACATGCCGATATTATTATTACATTTTTAGTTTTTTACTGGAAGCATCACAAAATTGGGAACTACACCATCTATGAATGACCACAAATGCTGTGGAGGACTAAAAGACCAGGGCTGTAAGACTGACCTTGTAGGATGTTTCTCTGTTCAAGCTCTTGTGCGGTGGGTCTCTGACTCAACCTCCTATGAGAAAAAACACACCGTGTCAGCAGAGACGAACCTAGATTAAGTGGCTACAAAAAGTAGCCTAAACACATCTAACAGAACATAAATTGTTTCTTTTTTCCAACATTAAAGTGCTTATTTTTTAATTAACTAAATGACTTTATAATAGAAGAAACAAAAATAATACAATCGTAAAGATACAGTACAATCTTCATATTTATAACCATATATATGGTAGAAATATATAGTTATCACATTTTCTTAGCGATATATGCTATTTACACTATGTAAAAATAACAGCATTTTCTTTGCAATAAGTGTAAATAATAGTTCGATGCTATTTATACTTAGTGCAAATAGTGGCAGATATTTGCACCTCAGTATAGCATTAAATTATTAAATAGTATGCAATAATAACATATTGAGTGTAAATAATCATATTTATTAAAATTATTTAATGGATGCCGCCTTATTGGGACAATAAAGCCCTCTCTATATCTACCTCAACCCTTCCCGATAAACTCTGTGTTATTAAATACCCGTGATGCACTTAATTTACACTTTACGAAGATCTGTTTCGTTTTTATTGTAGATAAACACCTTTTCGATCTGATAAGTGATGGGAAAAGGGAGAAGAAAGAGTTGGGCAAAAGGCAGATTTGATCTTGGGTCGATCGCGTCAAAAGTCGTTGCCATGCGTCTTACGCCACTGTTTCTGTTGTGCATTGTGCGTGTTTTGTAATTTGTGTCTGTCCCAAACAGACACTGGTGGGCGGAGTTACTGTAAATAGCCTCAGTCAACAAGGTGGGAGATTTGTAAATAGACTCTCCGTTAATATTAACATTTCTGATTTTTTTTTTTTGTTAACAACTGTTTATTGAATTTTCTTCTGGGAATAGCAATATAAAACAAAAAGCAACTGTGCAAATTTAGAACCCACCCCAACCCTGGTAAACTTAAAAAAAAAAATAATAATAAAATAAAAAACATATATATATATATATATATATATAAATAAAAATAGAAATATTACAAATAAATAAATTAATAATAACAGATAAATAAATAGTAATAAAATAATTTTTTACAAAGATTTTAGAAAAGCTGACATTTCTGATTAGCCCTCGGGTAACTGCCTGCCTTATTGCTATGCCTCTGAGCGTCAGTGTGGATTACAAAGACCCATAAGCCCGCAGTGGACGCACACGCAGACCTTGTGAGGGTGGAGCCAATCTGATTGCGGACAGTTTCCCACTGCTCTTTGTTGTTCCAGGTGCTGTTCTCCTGGTCCTGAGACCGCTCTTTCTCCTGCTGACGCTCCAGCTTCATTGCCAGAGTGTCCTTACGCTTCACACGGAGTGCAAGACCACCTGACGAGACACACACACATTACTTTTACTTGTACACTTTATATTTACTTGTAGGCCAATCTCTGACATTTCTGATTAGCCCTCGGGTAACTGCCTGCCTTATTGCTATGCCTCTGAGCGTCAGTGTGGATTACAAAGACCCATAAGCCCGCAGTGGACGCACACGCAGACCTTGTGAGGGTGGAGCCAATCTGATTGCGGACAGTTTCCCACTGCTCTTTGTTGTTCCAGGTGCTGTTCTCCTGGTCCTGAGACCGCTCTTTCTCCTGCTGACGCTCCAGCTTCATTGCCAGAGTGTCCTTACGCTTCACACGGAGTGCAAGACCACCTGACGAGACACACACACATTACTTTTACACTTTATATTTACTTGTAGGCCAATCCGACACAAGAGTGAAAAATATCAGTTCCTGCATCCAAATCAAGGTATCGGTATTGATATCGAACATTTTGGAATGATACCCAGCCCTATAGACTACCATTCAAAAGTCTGTATGATTTTTTTAATGTAGGGCTGCACGTTTAATCGAATGCCATTGTCATGCGCATCTTGTCAGTAAAGTCGGTTCTGTGATTAGTAGTAAATCTCCATCACGTGCTTTCAGATGGAGCAGCATTTACTACACAGAGCCGTAGTTCACTGACAAGCAACGCAAAATCGCGTTCATAATCGCAGACGTTATAATCGAGCGATAATGAAATCGAAATCATTCTGCGATTATGAAAGCTGTTTGCGTAGCTTGTCAGTGAACTACGGCTCTGTGAAGTAAATGCTGCTCCATCTGAAAGCATGTGAAAATACCACATTTAATAACATGTTTTTACTCCAAACTCACTTCATAACGTCAGTCGAGTGTTTGAAGTAAATCCTTCTGAGAGATGATGTGGCTTCTTACACAGAATAAGGCACGCAACTATTTTTATATTAACTACTACCTGCAACTGCGACTATATTTCATAGTATTCTAAGCAGTGATGAAGGCTATGCCGATTAGCGTTGCATTATTATATACTTTATTATAATAAAAATTATAATAAGACAAACTTAGATAAACCATATATTGCCGTTATCGTGTGTTTATTAGTCATGTTGAATCAATGAAAGCCGTTAAAATCTTCTGTTTATTCAGCAATGGCTATAGGGATTTCCTGGGTTTCTTCTGCGAGGCGTATTTGGAGCGTCAGTGCGAGAGCGCCCTCTGGCCTTCGGATGGAGATTTACTGCTGATCACAGAACCGTGCTTCACTGAAAGATACGCATGACAATTGCAGCTTCTGCCTAATCGCGATTTATCGCCTTTGCAATTTAAATTCGATTAATCATGCAGCCCTATTTTAATGTCTTTGAAATAAGTCTCTTATACTGCATTAATCTGATTACAAATACAGTAAAAAGTTTAAAATAACTTTTCTATCTGAATATATTTTAAAATGTAATTTATTCCTGTGATGCAAAGCTGAATTTTCAGCATCAATACTCCGGTCTTCAGTGTCACATGATCCTTCAGAAACCATTCTAATACAGTATGCTGATTTACTGCTCAAGAAACATTTCTGATTATTATCCTATTACAGTTGTGCTGTAGATTTTCTATATATTTTTCCCGGATTGTTTTGATGAATAGAAAGTTTATTTGAAATCTTTTGTAACATAAAAAATATCTTAACTGTCCCTTTTGACCAACTGAATCTGCCTCTGTTGCATAAAAGTATAAAAAAATGTATGCTGACCACAAACTTTTGAATGGCAATCAGAGTTTTAACACCTTATTCCACAGTTTCATGCTTTAAAATGCCAACTGTGGTAACAGTAAAGTGCTAAGTTTTTAATGCACATATTAGTACAGGACATTCCTAAATAACCCTCATACAGCTGGTCAGACAGTATAAAAGGATCATACTCATGGGAACATCCTCATCATCTTCTTCATCGTCATCTCTGTAATGGATGGGTCCATCCGAATCACTCTCCTCGTCCTCATCATCGCTGTTTCCATGTCCCGCATCCTCAGGAATGACAGTGACCCGCGGGTCTCCAACCAGACCGCAACGGCTGCGCGGCTCCAGCTCCGGCTGTTGTGCGGGCCGAGGGGCGGGCCGCAGCTTCTGCAGCTCTTCTTCAATGTCAAAATCATCATCCTCAGGCCTAATCAATACATAATCACAAAAACACAGTGAACATATGAATGGTGTGTGGTTGTGTACATTTTACTGCAACACACAGCATGCATGTAACATATTATAAATGTAGTGTAGTGTATATGTAGCATGATTAGGACAATTTAAAAGCATTGCCAAACCAAGATCTCAAAAGAGATCACTCTGATGACATTGGTGTAGAAGAGGTAAAGCATGTGCTGCTTTGTAATTGGTTTGAATATCTGCCGGCATAGCACTTCCGATTTCTCTTTTTGACGAATACAGACTACTGCCACCTGCTGGATGGGAGAGTTACTTCCCCTCACACAGGCACAGAATGAACAACTAGTTGGCCATAGTCTTTTCTGAAAATTAACTTACCCTCGGGCCGTCCAAGATGAGTTTGTTCATTCATGGAAACAGATGTGAAGAAATGCAGCATTGCATCACTTGTTCACCAGTGGATCCTCTGCAGTGAATGGGTGCCATCAGAACGAGAGCTGATAAAAACATCACAATAATCCACACCACTCCAGTCCATCAGTTAATGTCTTGAGAAGCAAAACAGTGCAATAAACAAATCCATCATTAAGGTGTTAACCAATGGCACTGACTAAAATACAAGTCCTTTATCCATTTAATGTTGCTAACTCCATTAAAAAAATCGTCTCGTCTGAATCAGGAGAATAATATTAACAGATTAAGCAAAAACAGTCCAAAATCAGTTCTAAAGAAATATGTGGGTGGATTCTGATGTGAGAGGACAACAGGGGATGTTTCTTCCTTTTTCACTGGAAGAAGCGTTGTTATGGATTATGGACACGTATTTTGGCCAGAAGTGACTGTTTGAAGTTATAATGGCTTAATTATGGATTTGTTTATTACAAGCATGCACCTTTTCACTTCACAAGACATTAATTGATGTACTGGAGTGGTGTGGATTATTGTGATGTTTTTATCAGCTGTTTGGACTCTCATTCTGACGGCACCCATTCACTGCAGAGCATCCACTGGTGAGCAAGTGATGTAATGCTACATTTATCCAAATCTGTTGTGACGAAGAAACAAACTCAACTACGTCTCAGATGGCCTGGGGGTGATGACATTTCCAGAAAATGTGTAAAATGTGTAAAGAAAATGTGAAAATATGTATAGTACACATAAGCAGCATAATACTAGGCAACATTTCTTCATGGGATGCAAAAAGTAGCAATCTGCTACAAGCGTACAAGAGCAGAGAACACCGTGTTCTGAGATAAACTGATATGCACACTCACAGTCGCAGAGGTTCAATAGTGACAGGAAGAGAGTTTCGCCCCCCTCCTGGGGCCTCAGTGAGAAAGTCCGGTGGTAATTCAAACAGAAGCGAATGAGCTCGCTGGGATTCTTCAGGACTGGGCTGGACTGGGCCTGGGCTGTTCAAGGCTCTCTGGATACGTATGTACAGAGGTAAGGGCAGCTGAGAGGGCGGCTCTGTGGTAGGGCTGGGCGGGTCCACGTGGGGGACCTCAGGGGGTGGGTGGGCGCGATGAGGGGTTGGCGGGATATGGGTTGGAGGAGGAGAAAGCGCTTCGGAGTTTGAGTTTCTGCTGTCATCTGATTGGGCAAGGGGCGGGGCAGAAGCAAGGGCTGGGACTGGGATGGAGGTGGGGCCTGGGGACGGAGGCTCAGGCTGATTGGCCGAAGAGTCATCGGAGTGGTCTTTGGTCACAGGAGTCATCCTCTTTGGAGGAATGGGAGGAGATCGCTTGACTGGGACCTGGACTTGAGAGGGATCCACTGTATAAAAAAATAAATAAATAAATGCAATCAAAATAAACTTCACAAGAAATGAGGGTTAAAGCACATGTGGCAACAACAAATTAGTCGGTATGAAAGAACAATGATTTGCATGCCATGGAATTAATCATATGGTATTAGTACAAGATGAGGAGGGAGTTAATATTCTAAGATAATAGATTCTACAGATAATATTCTAAAGAGAAGTGTTTTAATATTAAGGTCTAAAACATACCACTCTATGCAAGTTTATGAACGCAAATCCTTTGGCTGAGACCTGTTCACACCAAGGACGATAAATGTAACGATAACTATGAAGTTTTAATAATTGTTAATAATTGGGAAGTCCACATCACAACTATAACAATGGCACAGAGCAACAATATCGTCTGAATCACTTTCAGAATTTTTTTCACAGATGCACAATTAAAACATAGTTAATCAGAACTCACGACTTTAAAGAGCAAAAGCATTTTTAAAGCAGCAAACAACAAAACTGCAGTGTGTTTATAGTAATCATAACATAAACGTCCATTGGTGTGGACACTAATACAGTTGTCATTTGTTATCGTTTTTGGTGTGAACGGGCCTTAAATGCCTTTCTTCAAAAATCAGGCCAACTACTGTCACGGCAGAGCAATGGTTAGAATTGAATCTTTCGGAGCAAGTTAGTTAAAATGAACATGAAATCTAAATCAACCCTACTTCCTTTCTTAATGTCATGTTAATACACAGACGTGAAGAAAATAACTCCTATCTTTGGTACTGTGACAGTGCAGGTTAAGTATGCACTTGCAACGTGTCGGCCAAGCATTCATGTCTGAATTTGTGCACTTGCGTAAAGTATGTTTCTGGGCTAAACGTCAAAAATCTTCACCTTACATGCAGGCCAGGTCTATATTGAAACCTCTAAAAATCCACTAGACAGTGGAGACTGCCACTCAGTACTTGCTGTTCAGTGACACTCAGTCAATTTTTACATTCTGCAAGAGGGTGTTAGTACACAGGTACATTTTTCAGATGTCAACCAGATTGATTCTGAATTGTATCTTCTTTACTGGTTATTCTGTTAATCTTCAATCATGGTTACATGTAATTTTCATATCCTTTGAATAGGATGAACTGAACTCCATTCATTAGTTCTCAGTAATTGAAATTATTAATTTTATATTTTAGAGCACTGAATAGGGCAAATAGTCGAAACACAAATATTTGTCCATACTCGGTTCTCTTTTTTCCATAGCTCGCTTTTCCAGACCTGCAAATTACTTAAGTGAAATACTTTTTAAACTGCGCAGGAACCGGTGAGCCAAAGGAAATCATGTTGTTTTACATAAACCTCTAAAATTACAACGCAGTAACAAGTGTGTGAAGTAAATGAGTTTAAAAGAATGAAATAACCGCAAATAAAATAGTAGTGTTGCAGTTGCCTTCCATGCATTTCCTGGAAATTACCTAAATCAATTTCCATATTTCTAAACTGCGTAGGATCCCTTACTGTTTTAATTAGAACATATTTAAATATTTATCGGATCACGAAAGGTCCCCAAGCTGGGACTCGAACTCACGTTGCTTGAAGCACAACCCCACTGCATCTCGAAGCACTGCCTATACAATACAAGGGTATAGGCTCCGACTGTTAGAAGATATTTAAATAAATGTTATAATCATAAAAATATATATATTTTAGTTAAACACGGCATATTTGTTCAGTGATAACTATGAAAAAAATAGGCTGTAATACCATAAACATAATAACGGTCTTATCAAGTAAGAATAACTGTACAAAGTTCAGGTTCAAGCTCCGCCCACTTCCAGTTTTATCCGAATACAGATACGAATAATTTTGAGATTGTTACAGATACAAATACAGATACAAATACTGGCTTCGCTGCACACCCCTAAACGACATACTACCACAACAAAATTAACAACTGTTCTGACTCTCGCACACTTTACCAAACTTTCGCTTCTCTTCTCTGTCCTACTCCTCCTTCATCAACTCTTACAGCTGATGACTTTGCAATATTCTTCATAAATAAAACAAGAAACATCAATGACCAATTCTCCAAACCACAAACCGATGATAACTTCATAACGACAAATACACACTCGCTCTCCTCCTTCACTCCACTCTCGGAGACAGACGTTTCCAAACTTATCCTTTCCAATCATCCTACTACCTGTCCACTTGATCCTATCCCCACTCACATACTTCAGGCCATTTCTTCTTCAGTCATACCTGCGCTTACTCACAATATCAACACCTCTCTTCACACTGGTACATTTCCCACAGCATTTAAGCAGACTCTGGTAACTCCACTGCTTAAGAAACCCTCTCTAAATCCAGCACTTTTAGAAAACTACAGACCGGTATCCCTTCTTCTGTTCATTGCAAAGACACTTGAGCGAGTTGTGTTCAACCAACTCTCTATGTTCCTTGCACAGAACAACCTCCTGGACAACAACCAATCTGGCTTCAAAAGCGGCTGCTCAACTGAGACTGCCCTGCTCTCGGTTACTGAAGCCCTGAGACTGGCAAGAGCAACTTCCAAATCCTCAGTACTCATCTTGCTAGATCTGTCTGCTGCTTTTGACACAGTTAACCACCAGATCCTCCTGTCCACCCACATAAAGATGGGCATCTCAGGAACCGCACTCCAATGGTTCAAGTCTTACCTCTCAGGTAGGTCTTTCAGGGTGTCTTGGAGGGGTGAGGTTTCACAACTTCTTGCTACTGGGGTTCCACAAGGCTCAGTGCGTGAACCTCTTCTCTTCTCCATCTACATGTCATCATTAGGATCTGTCATTCAGAAGCATGGCTTTTCTCATCACTGCTATGCTGATGACACTCAACTCTTCTTCTCATTCCAACCAGATGATCCAACGGTAGCTGGTTGCATTGCAGCCTGTCTGAGAGACATTTCTAGCTGGATGAAGGACCATCACCTTCAACTCAACCTTGCTAAGACAGAACTGATCGTGGTCTCAGCCAACCCAGCACTTCATCACAACTTCTCTATACAGCTAGGTTTGTCAACCATAACTCCTTCCAGGACAGCCAGGAACCTTGGAGTTGCGATCAATGATCAGTTAAGCTTCACAGACCATATTGCTACAACGGCCTGGTCCTGCAGATTTGCCTTTTACAACATTAGGAAGATTAGACCTTTCCTATCAGAGCAAGCTGCACAACTCCTTGTCCAAGCTCTTGTTCTCTCCAGACTGGACTATTGTAATGCTCTCTTGGCGGGCCTTCCCATATGTACTATCAAGCCTCTGCAACTGATCCAGAATGCAGCAGCGAGAGTGGTCTTTACAAGCCGGAAAAAATCTCACGTTTCACCTCTCTTCATCAGTTTACACTGGCTTCATCAGTTTAATAGCTGCTCGCATTAAATTCAAGGTACTGATGTTTGCCTATAAGACAACAACTGGCGCTGCACCAATATACCTAAACCCCCTAGTTAAAACGTATGCACCCTCCAGAAGCTTGCGTTTTGCAAGTGAACGACGCCTTGTGGTACCATCCCAAAGAGACACAAAATCACTATCACTGACCTTTTCCTGGACTGTGCCCAGCTGATGGAATGACCTCCCTATCTCAATTCTAACAGCTGAGTCTTTGGCCATTTTCAAAAAAACGTCTAAAGACATCTTTTTCGCCAGCACCTGACGAACTAATACTAGCACTTACCTATTCTATTCTACTAAAAAAAAAAAAACTATCTATGTATACTGTGCTAGACTAAGACTTGTCACAGCAGTTACATACTGTTGCTCTCTCGTTCGTCTGATTGCTTCTATTGTTCTACTCATTTGTAAGTCGCTTTGGATAAAAGCGTCTGCTAAATGATTAAATGTAAATGTAATGTAAACACTAGCTCCATATAATACCTATTACTATTCTTAGAGATGTGCATGAGTTATTATGAGTATGCGTGATATGACTTTTTCTGCAGAGACAACTCTACTAAAAATGACTCAAATAGGGACCTTGTTTTTAATTTTATAATTACAAGCGTGCTCATACACAGGACGTGCTCACTCTAGTAATACACACACACTCGCACACAAACATATGACGCATTCACTCATTCACACATAATTTGCAGGCGAGACATTTATGCAGAAGACATAAGAAGCATATCCAATCTGTTTCCATAATTTAAATTATACATGTAACATAAAATATGTTTGCACCGACGACATTGGCATATTCTGGGATTTAAGAAAAATTTGTATTACACAACGTAAATAGTGTGCAGGCTTAATATGATTATTGCAGTAATCTGAAGGCAGCGCAAAAGACCTTTTGAGGTGTATGGACCTTTGAGGTGTATGGACTTGATCAGCAAGTCTTCAGCAACAATTGCAAAATAATCATTTTCTTCTTAAGAAAACAATACGATGTTCTTAAAGGGGTCATATGATGCTATTTTAAAGATCATTATTTTGTGTATTTGGTGTAACAGAATATGTTGACACGCTTTAATATTCAAAAAACACATTATTTTTCAAATACTGTACATTATTGGAGGTCCTCTATGCCCTGCCTCTCTCAAAGGTGTAGTTTTCAACAAAGCCCCCTCCTTTGACAAGCGCAGTCTGCTCTGATTGGCCAGCTGACCCAGTGCATTGTGATTGGCCGAACACCACAAGCACGCGTCGGAAATGTAACGCCCCTTACCATAATCGCGAGCTTCAGCTTTCAAAGTAAATATCAGTTAGTAATAGACAGTTAATAATGTTATTAGTTTTACCATCAGTTCAAGCCCGAAAGGGCAACAGAGTCACGTGACAGACACAGTGATGATGCAGTACACAAGCCGTGGTTAAGACAGCTGACGTGCTATGATTTCTGACAGACAGTTCACTCTCCTGTGATGTGACCCTGTTCCCCTCACACACACACAGACACACACACACACGAAGCGTTACTCTTTTACAAATAATGACTCACCTTGTAGTGCAGTGTTGTTGTTGTGATGGGTGGGTTTGGGAGGGGGCACTGGCGGCTGTTTAGGGGCAGTAGGGGCTGGAGGGTTGGAGTGGGCGGGAACAGTGGGAGCAGTGGCGTGCGCGGGAACAGTGGGAGGAGTGGCGTGTGCGGGAACAGTGGGAGGAGTGGAGTGGGTGGGAATAGTGGGAGGGACTTCACGGTCTCCTGCTGTTACGGGAGGACTGGGATTATTGCGGGAAGAGTCATCTATGTTTAAAGACACAGTCCGAGGAGGAGGCTTAGCAATGGGGGGAGCAAAGGATGATGATGAAGAGGAGGAGGATGAAGATGGGACTGGAGCAGTCTCAGTGGAGGAGGAGGAAGCAGCCATCAGCCACTTGGGAGGGAGAATGGCCTGTTTAGGGGGCGGCTGGGACTCTTTAGTGGAGGTAATTGGTGCAGGTTTGGGCTCAGGAACAAACCGCACACCCACTGATCCTAATGGTGAGCACAAGACACATGCACAAACATACATAATCACAAATAACAAAAAACACACAAGTGCACAGCACAGTCACAGCAGCAGGCATGAGTAAATCAGGCATGGGGCGGCATGTGAACAGAATGACAGTGAGGTGCAGGAGTGCTTTAAAGACCCCGAGAATTCAAAACGGCAGTTTTGCGGTTTGAGGGCATAAATATGCCAAATATACTGCACAATAATGAGTCAATCGATGTACACTTCCTGCTTCAATAGCTAATATGCCAATACAGGAATCAAGCTGTTTCATGGGGTCTTTACCATCGCTGTGCCGTGAGCAAAATTTCTAGTGCATAGTGAAGTTCTGTAGTTCCAGCATCCTTTTTTCACTCTGAAATACAACTGCATGAATTGTATAATCAGCACTCAAACTAAATAGTGGGTATACAGCTAAGCTGTTTCTCAAGAACCTGATATAAGCTGCTTTAAAGAGCTTAAGCAAATGTGACACTACTGTAAATATGTCTCCTGATAGCAAAAAAAAAAAAAAAAAATTCATTTTATGGACACCAACACTGAAGTATATTATGATCCCATTCCTTTGACAGACAGGCTAAAGAGCTAATAAGAGGTGGCAGGACAGGTAATAATAATGATAATAATAATAATAATAATAATAATAATAATAATAAAAAGCTATGAAAATATGACGCCAATCACTTTAAATGTTTTTGTACAGGGTTATTTTGCACACTGACACATTTGTCAGTTTTGATCTTAGATTGTCAATACTAGGGACGCACCTAGGGCTGGGTATCGTTCAAAAATTTTCGATACCGATACCTTGACTTCGATACTGGTTCCTGAACAATACTTTTTTCGATACCAGTTTTATGAAATCAATTTTAACAAGATTACATTATAAAAAAAATATATAAAAATGTAATCAACAGAATAAATCAGTGCAAATAGTTTTAATAAAGCTCAAATAATCTTCAGTTTACACATCTGTTAGGCTACATTTACACTAGTTAGTGTTCGTTTTAAAACGCATAGCTCAGACAGAATCATGATTTCTATTTAGTTTCCACTGATTTACTGATAAGCATTAGCAGCTTCCAGCGCTGTCTGCTTGTGTTCTCTCTTCCATGATCGCTGCTCTGACTCAGAGGTTATAATATATTTAATTTCAGCAACATTACATGGCCAAAACACACATTAGACGGCAATCGGAAGTTATTACAAACACTCGATGGTGGTTTAAAGTGAGTTTTAAGTAAAAGCGGAATATAAATCTTATTTATTGTCTTATGTAGCATGATGCTACAGTTTGCATGAATGGTCACATAACGAGCTTTTGGTCGTCTAACGTTAGTATGAACGGACATCTGCATATGATCGGAACTCCACGCAGCTCCCGCGCTACTCTCCATTGGAAATTAATGACTGGTCTGTCGATTGTCGGAGATAGTGGAAAGCCGGCTTGAAACGCAGTGGAAACGCCAGTATGATGAGGATCGTTTTCATTTTAAAACACAAACGCACCAGTGTAAATGTAGCCTTACATCTAAGGGGGCTGGGACGCATTCACACTACAGCCTCATGTGTGCGCCACATCTCTGAGTGTAACCGGTGTAAACTAGTAGGTGTGTTTGACTTGACGTGGACCGACTGTGCAGACCGATCGGTGTATTACAGTACCACGAGAGCAGACTGATCGATCTGTCATGTGTTGCAGGCTTATTGGCTCACTGACGCTGATGAGATTAACTCCTTAGGTATCGAAATTTGGTACCGAACAATGAGACGTTTTTCGATACTCGATGGAATCGAGGCAATTCGGTCGGTGCCTAAAAAGTATCGAACTCGATATCCAGCCCTAGACGCATCGATATTGAACTTCTGGGCCGATATAAATAAACAAAAATTGCAGTTTTGCATTTAAACTCTTTAAAACCAACTGGAGTGGCTAGTTTATAAAAAAAATAAATAAAAAAAAACAACACTTACTTAAATGTAGCCGCTTTCAAAATGTGAAAAACTCTTAACTATTGCTTTTTCAACAGGCAAAAAAGGGTCCACTCTCAATAATCGATGTATGAATCGCAGCTCACATAGAAGTCGCTTTCAATCAAGAAGCTTTCTGTAGGTCAACGTGGCAAATTCGCTTGACCAGCTTGATCAGTGGTTGACCAATACACAGCCAAAGCAATCAATCCATCAATTTATTTTACAAATGTATTTTTCATCAAGTTCAAATATTTTTTTTTTCTAATTTAGTAAATAGTACATAAAATAAATACATTTCATTTCAACAACTGTTATGCATGTGTCTTTAAAATGAATAGTGTGATATTGTATACATATTTTATATCATGGAGAAATCATTCAGAAAAATGTTTGGTGTAGAAATTCACCAAAATGTGACTTCTAGTGCTGAATTTGGATTTAGTGCTCAAATTTAATTTAATTAAATGTTTTTTTTTTTTGGTTTTTCACTTCAATATTAGATTTTGACTTCACTAAACATTATTTGTAACGTGCCACCCAGCCAATAATCGCAATAAACTTTGTTCTTTGTTACTTTTCATATGAAAGCTTGTCTGAGCTTTCAAATTCAAAGTCAATTTTATTGTGAAATTCCAACAATAAATATGATTTTGGTGCTCTTTAATGTGGCGTGACAGATCGCCTTGTAGCTGCCTCAGTTCAAGTGGCAGTCATATTTTTCCAGGGTATATTATTTTATAACTTTTCCAGCTCTAGATGTATGTGAATATTAAAACCCCTAGTAAGCTTCACTGTTTTGAGCAATGCCTTTAATGCCCACAAATGTATTGTCACGAATGGAGTGAGCTGGGGGAGAGTTTTACCTGTTCGTGTCCTTGATTCTTCCTCTGCAGGTGTGTATCGTGGCAGTGTGCTGCTCTGGATGGCCTCTGAAAATGGCCGGACCTTCTGTCCAATGTCAGACGAGCTCTTCTGAATAATGGGCCGCATGTCCTGTTCTGACTGAGGCCGGATTAGTTTCCCATCAGACACCTGTTTCACAGGTTCTGGCCTCCTGACGTCTCTCCTTTCTCTCTCCTCGCGTCTATCCCGTTCCTCTCTTCTTTCCCTGTCTTCCCTCCTTTCGCTCTGCTCCTTTCGCTCTCGCTCGTCTACTCTCTCAGGCTCATCCCGCCTTTCGTGATCCTCTTTTCTGTCTCGTGGCTGTTTCCTATCCCTGTTTTCTCTCCAGTCCTTCTCTTCCCGCTTTTCCCTGTCATTCCGCCTTTCTTTCTCGCGTTCATCTCGATCACCTTTTCCATGCCTGTCCTCTTTATCAGGCCTCTTGTCTCGTCTGTCTCTGTCATCTATACGTTCGCCTCTTCCTTCCCTGTCTTCTCTTCTATCCCGTCGTTCTCTGTCCCTGCTCGCTTTCTCATCTCTTTCCTCTCGCCGATACCGTCCCTCCTCCTGTCCTTGTCTTTCTCTCGGTAAAGATCCTGCTGGTCTCTCCACGTCTGACTCCAGTCGGCTGCGTCGGTCCGTTTCATGCGGTAACCGCGTCCGGGCGTCCACGTCCAGCGGCTGACGGTTGCGACTGACGTCGGAGGGCGCTCGGTTGCGGCACTCCGGTTCAGGTGCGAGGCTGTTCCTCTGTTCTTCTCCTTGTGGCCGTGAAGATGGCGCCTTGACCTCTGAGCCTGTATCTGACCTGCGCTCTCCAGGCACTGGAGCAGTGTGGCCGTTCTTCACTGGAGGAGCTTTGTGATTCATGTCATTACTCTCTGAAACAGATGTGGATGATGGATTTTGAGACAGAATACAACAGACCAAAGAAAAAACATGTAAGAGTGGATACTACAGGAGGTACGTTCATCACAACATTTGAACAACTGAATACAGAACAGTATGAAATGATGCAATGCTTAAACGTAATCTTACAGGCTGAATCACAGATGCTCAGAACAGGGTTTCACATATTTTGACCAATTTTCATGGTTTTTCCAGTTTAATAAAGGTATTAATAATAATGTTATTAGCCAGTAAAATTAATATTCCCTACATATTTTTATTCTTATGTATTTTTAGCCTTTATAATTGACTTTTCCAGGCCTGAAAATCCCAATTTTAAAGTCACCATGAAATCAAAATGAACACTTCTTAGTTTTAACTGAATGTTTCAAGTGTTTATTATAAATGATTTATCTGTGCATATTATTTTTATTTTTTTTAAAAGTGTTTCATAATCTTTAAATCAAAAACAATAACATGCCCCCTCGCAACAATTTTTTTTTTCTCTGATGTGGGATCTTTCTGCTGACTTTAAAAATCCTGGTCTTCATTGACGGTGAACCAGTCTGAAACACCACAGTGCAGCTAATTATGTGTTTTCAAAACAGAAAAGAAAGCGAAGAACCACCATAAAGAAAAATAAACCTATTTGTACTGCAGGATCATAAAGTTTTTGCATTGTGATGTTATTTTAATAACAAATACAGCATGATACATAAAAACATGCTTTGGACATGTTTATGACAGAATTAATCTCACAAAACCTTTCAAGCAATTAGGTTTTGAACAATCAAATTCAAAACAATGGGATACCATGACCATGCTGGGTTGCCGTACTATTTTCTGGGATGTCCTTCAGTAACCCTCGCTCTATCAGCTCCTCTCTGGGCTTCCTTGTCGAAATCTTCCTCTCCAGCACTGATCATTCAGAAAGAGAGCAGACACACATTAATCAGTCAAGCCACTGGTTTCAGAGCACAGCGAGTTTAAGGGGAATCCTAAATCCTAATTTAACCTCCCCTCAAAATGGACAATTGTGATTAATAATTGAAACATTTTTATGAATAACAAATCTAAACTGATCACTGTAACTTCCAAAGAAAAAAAAAAAAAAAAAAAAAAAGGTTGATATCAGAATTCAGTTCCAATAGAACGGGCATTATAAAATGACCGTATTCATTCAGTGTAGTTTAAGAGTCAGAAATGTTAACAGACAGGTACCTTCTGATGTCTCCTTAAACTTGTCACTGCTTCTCTTCTTCCTCCACTTCCAGGGTTTGAAGATCTTGCCCAGGCTGGAGAACTTGCCCTTGCCCTTTGCCGCAGGGGTTCCTGCTCCTGGAGGTGCTCCATCACTCTCCGGCACACTATGATCCACTTCAACATCTGGGGAGGAGCAGGAGGAAAGAGAGAGAGAAGTTTTGTATATTTATCATGCATTTCTAACCAGACACTGACAAGGGAAAAAAGACAACAAAATAAAACTAAAATGGCTAACTGTAATTCTAAAGACTTGTTCACACCGGGACGAATATCGCGCGTGATTATCGTCGACGTTTAATGCCTCGTGACTAAACAAAGGGCACCAATGTGAGTGTGCACACCGACGCGCAAAACGCGAGGCGTAAAAGCGTAATTTTTTTAAAAACGCCTCGGGCTCATTTTTTTTGGTTTGAAGCGGCGCGTTAAAAACTGGCCGACCAATGAGATTGGTGCTTTTGTTCACGTGCCTGGAGCTGCTGAAGTTACAGGAAAACATGACTTGGTGGCGCTCAAGCACAAATCGGTCTTGCCGAGGACACATTGATACCTAACGATGAAGAGGAAGTAAATAGACCAAGAAGGTGCATCGAGGCAAGATGAATGCAGAGCTGTTGGTCTCATTGGTGTCTGAACACAAAGAGCTTTATGACAAACGCGACAGGGACTACAAAAATCTCGTTAAGAGGGAGTTGTTATGGAGAGGAATTGCAGAGCAAATAGGATTCGATGTGTACCGGGATATTTCTGTTTTTCATTAAGCACCATCTAATGTCAGGGAGTGAATCTGCACGTTCACTCGGCTCATCGCCAGCGAAAATCGCTTGGGTATGAACACAAAAGATGCATAAAAAAACGTTGGCGATAAGCACGCGAGATAATCGTCCCGGTGTGTACGAGGCTTAAGGTTGTGCACAGCTGTAAAATCCTGTTAAACAAACCTGTGACACATTTTATATTAGCATAAAGCAGAATGCATGTAATATTTGTCTCACTTGAATTGCACACGAATGCTATTTAATACCAAACTGTCATATGGAAGCAGTGTTAGAAGCAGTGTTTGAAGATATGTGTCTCAATACATACTAGAGGTCGACCAATGTATCGGTTTTGCCGATTAATCGGCACCGATAGTTGATTGCTGGAACTATCGGTTATCGAAAAAAATCCATGCCGATAGTTTTCCGGGTTGCGTCCATTGCTGCAGCGGATGAGAAGGGTCTGCTGTCATTATACAGTGCGAGAGCAGCCTCTAGTGGTTGAAATCACTGACAGCATGTGCTATTTGTTAAGACACATGATACTGCACGCTGAACAGAGCGGTTAGTAAGCATAGTTTCCTCTATGCTTACTCCACAGATTCCATGGTATATGCAATATGTCCCTTGTTTGAACAAATGCTAAGATGTTGTAACATAGGAAAGAGAAGGCTGTGCAATTCATTTTGCAAATGATGTATATTAAGCATGAATAACAAGACAGAGACCGTTAAACTGGTCTGAAAACTTCAGGCGCGGATTTCAGGCGCGGATTTAAACGCAGCCGACAGAAAATCCTGCCGCGCCACAAAGCGCCATTCACATAGTTTTCCTTTAAATTACATTATATTGGTCCCGAATCATTGTTAATGTACATAATGAATTGTGTATTGTGCATTTTCAGCAAAATGTTTGTCTTTCTGTGGCTCTAATAACGTCTGTGTGCTTCATTTATAAAGCTATAATATAGGTCACGCTTTCTCTTTCCGTTTGCTCTGTTTTTTAAACACCGAACGTCAAACTCATCCATGCCAAATTGTTCATTCTTGAAGTAAACTTGTGTCCGTTTGGTGATTAAATAAACTGTTTTAGACCACTGCTCGAGTTGAACGCAACGCGTCCGGCGTGTGTGTGATACCTGTGAGTTCTCCTAAACTCAGCGCTGCACTTTTATTTTGATTAGACAATCATCAAGTGTTCAAGGATAGAAGCAGTTAAAGTGTGAGAGTATACATACAATATCCATATGTATATAATTTTAATGCTATAGCCTTTGTGTATATATTTAAAGATGTGCATCTTTAAACATGACAGTTGAAATGAAATGGTAACACTTTAAAATAAGAGTCCATTTGTAGCATTAAGATTAATGAAAGCTGTGTAAGTATTGTTCCTTGTTAGAGTGTTAATTTCAATATTTACTATTACTTTTTTTTTTACTACTACTACTAGTATGGTTCAGTACTGTTTTTGTTAATAAAGCACTATTTTAGTTTTTGTTCAGTATCAATTTTAAAACTATCGGTTAATTAATCGGTATCGGCCAGTGTGGTCCAACCTAGCTATCGGTATCGGCAAAATCCACTATCGGTCGACCTCTAATACATACTAGTCAGAAAATGCAAACTCCACCAAAATTAATGATATGAATTGCTCTTCGTGTTGTGCATGTACAATTACTGTAACACACGGCCTCTCATGGATTATTTTTTTGTTACAGGAAAATATTTTCATAACAAACCATATATCATATATCAAATAAGAACACTCTAGATACAATTCACCAAACTACAGGACGTCCTGTCATGATGACGGTCAAAGCATATGCTCAATTACAGTGAGACATTACACTGATATTACATGTGAAAACAGTAGTAGCACTAGCACATTGGGCCGGCCACTGACTCACTACAGAAACCTGAGTAACACAACACACCCACCACACTGCTACACATTCACAGTCTGTCGGATTACACAGTGTAATATGTTGCTAAAATGGATTGACAAAACAATTACAACCCTTTCAACAGCCTAATGAGTCACATGTAACAACAGTGGGTGTTGATTCAGGAAAGTTATATGGATACTGAATACTTTACTCAAACAAGCTATGAGCTCACTGTGATTTACAGTTTACATGCAGTGACACCCAGCTGAGTTTTACAGATCTTGCTGCTACTAAATCCTCTACCTGTAGTCGCAGGTTACATTTTGGAGAGTATAAAAGTGTGCTTCAGTACATAATACCATAACTAGACCTAATCATGGCATTACATGTGAAAACAGTAGTAGCACTAGCACATTGGGCCGGCCACTGACTCACTACAGAAACCTGAGTAACACAACACACCCACCACACTGCTACACATTCACAGTCTGTCGGATTACACAGTGTAATATGTTGCTAAAATGGATTGACAAAACAATTACAACCCTTTCAACAGCCTAATGAGTCACATGTAACAACAGTGGGTGTTGATTCAGGAAAGTTATATGGATACTGAATACTTTACTCAAACAAGCTATGCTCACTGTGATTTACAGTTTACATGCAGTGACACCCAGCTGAGTTTTACAGATCTTGCTGCTACTAAATCCTCTACCTGTAGTCGCAGGTTACATTTTGGAGAGTATAAAAGTGTGCTTCAGTACATAATACCATAACTAGACCTAATCATGGCGCATCAAGCCACCAGGCCAGTTTCATGGTGTTTCACAACATCCCGCAGGAATCTGAGAGGTGTCAGCCGTTAATGTGCGTTTCACACATTCAGCTGGTGACAGTACGGCTTTAACGGACATTTAAAGATAAACAGTAACCACAAATCTTGTTCGCCTTACAGGTTTAATTAATGTTGGGTTAACATGATTAGCTAATTATGGGAAAACACAAGTTAAGGTTTATCGACAGTGTTATGAGGAAAATAAAATAATGTTCCCTTGACCTTCAATTTATAAACAGCAACACTAATACTGGGGTCGAATACAAAGCCCTGAACATGAAAATTAAGATATAGTGGCGACAAATTAAGAATTAACTCATTTGTTGCACATTTTATTACTGTTTCTCTTCGTTTTAGGCAAATTTGTTGAACTTCTTTCTCCTGCTGTAAGTAAGTAAATAAATAAATAAATTTATTTTATTTATAGAAAATATTTTTGCCCTCATTCAATTTACTTAACTAAATAATTAATCTCAGTTTGTGTTCTACTGAAGAAACAAAGTCACCTACATCTTGGATGCCCTGGGGGTAAGCAGATAAACATATTTTTTTTTTTTTACTGAACTATCCCTTTAACTTAATCTTTTTTTTTTTTGGCCTACATGAATATTTTTTGTCGACATAACTAGACAGTACAATTCTAGTACACAGCATGTTTTGCGTGGGACTGAATTTGGACAGTAAATTGTAAAATTAGGAGAAATTTGAGTAAATTTGCTCGCGTTTGAGTAAATACAAAAATTTGCTTGTTTAGATTCCATGGTATATGCAATATGTCCCTTGTTTGAACAAATGCTAAGATGTTGTAACATAGGAAAGAGAAGGCTGTGCAATTCATTTTGCAAATGATGTATATTAAGCATGAATAACAAGACAGAGACCGTTAAACTGGTCTGAAGCCACAAGACAAGGCAGGTTGTGTATGACACAATGGGGAGGTTTGGAATGTTTATGGGTTTTGGCAGCTTTGTTGGCCTAGATGGCTCTTAACTGATTTGGCAAGGGTTTGACAGCACACAGACCTAGTTTACTTCACTCAAACAGGATTTTTCCAACGAAAACACTTTACACATGTGGAAAAAACCTTTAAAAATGAAGGTATGGAAAAACACACTAAAGTCGAAAACTACAAGCTCTGAAATACAAGTGCATCTCAATAAATTAGAATGTCGTGGAAAAGTTCATTTATTTCAGTAATTTATTGGTCTTATGAAGTATTCTAATTTGTTGAGATAGTGAATTGGAGGGTTTTTGTGAAATGTGAGCCAAAATCATCCCAATTAAAAGAACCAAAAACTTAAACTACTTCAGTCTGTGTGCATTGAATTTATTTAATACACGAGTTTCAAAATTTGAGTTGAATTACTGAAATAAATGAACTTTTCCACGACATTCTAATTTACTGAGATGCACCTGTAGCCTGTACATTCTGACTTGGTCTACTTACTGCTTACTGTAAAAAACACTGTTCTCATGTTGTTTGGAAAAAGAAAGGCACGGTAACAAGAGAAAATAAGTTGGCTCATTGTCATGGCACCGCAACCTTGATAAAACCGAATAATAAAGTAATTGAAGTGAATGTCGCACTCACATCAGAGCACAGGCCACAATATACCCAATCCAACCAAGCACCGATCTTCACCCCTCACACACACACACACACACACACACACACACACACACACACACACACACACACACACACACACACACACACACACATCTCAATCAGTATTTCTACGAAGCGCTCAGTGAGCCTCAATGAGCTCTTTGTTTCAGGAAGGCTGTGCATTCCTCTCATATCAGTGACATACGTGAGAATCTGATTAGTCCACTGCCCTGAACTCACTGAGAGCAACGCACAGCTATGATAATGGTAGAGGACATCACACACAGACGTCGAGGGCACTGTGTGTAAATAAACACAGAGGTCAGGAGTCGATGGGAGAACTGAACGTGACAATCAGAAGATTCACGGCAACACCTTAAAACAACATGACAAGTCATCAGAAGGTGCTCGCCTGAAACTGAGGGATGAACATAAATGTGTGTGAGTGTGTGTAACAGTACGCACTAGTGCTGCTGCTTATTTGAGCCCTAATTATAGAACTATTTTTGTTGCAGAAGGTTGGGGTCAGTAATATTTGTTGTGTATGTTTCTGAATGAAGCCCTTATGCTCACCAAGGCTGCTTTTATTTGATCGAAAATACAGTAAAAACTGTAATATTGTTAAAATATTATAAGCTGATTTCTATTTCTATAATTATATGTCTCCCGAATCGAACCGTCCCGCTCAGTGGAAATGAGCCATAATATGCTGATTTGCTGCTCAAGAAACATTTCTGATTATCAATGTTGAAAACAGTTGTGATGCTTCATATGTTTGTGTGCGAACTTTGACGAATAGAAAATTCAAAAGAACAGCATTTATTTGAAGAAATATTTTGTAACATTATAAATGTCTTTACTGTCACTTTCGATCAATTTAACACATCTTTGCTGAATAAAATAATTTATTTAATAAAACATTACTGACCCCACACTTTTGAATGGTAGTGTACAAACAAACTAGATTACAGAAAGAAACTGTTTCATACTATTATAATATATATTTTATTTGACAAAAAAATATATATTTTTAAATAAAATATAATTAACAAATACATTTATAATATCGTAGTTGACTGTTAGATTAAATTAACTATATTCGTAATGGAATACTGAATGCTATTAAAACAATCTTTTTTTTTTTACAAAAAAATCTGAAACTGTGCACAAAAGGCAATGATAAACAATTCAAACAGTAGAATACTACAATAGTATCACATGACTTCAGTACACACATTTAACTCTGTGAGTGTGCAAGTGTCATCTTGATTTGCATCAATTTATATGTATACATTTACAAACGAGTTTTTGTCAATCCCATCAAAAATGAGAAAAAAGGAAACTTTCCAGTTCATTCAACACACTAAGTTAAGTAAGTCTTTTGGGCACAGTGTAGCACACCATGTGTGCTGGTTGTAAAAGGCACATTGAAAATGTTATACAGCAGCAACAGTACAATGCTATTCAAGACCTCCTTTAAAAACAATTGGAGCAAGTCCATCATAAAACTATTCTTAAGTAAACTGATGTGTTCATCAATGTATTTATGTAAGAATAGTTTTATGAATGCACTCCACAGCCTCTATCTATGTTCTGTCGCAGTAAATGAAGGACGAGGCTGCATGTTTGGATTCAAGCTCATCATGCTGTGATTTTCGGAGCTGGAAAACAGTGTCAACAAGAAACCACTTGAGCCAGCACAAACAGATTTTCTCCTTTAACACGGCTGCACCAAACACATGGTCATACATGATGCAATGTGGAGACCGCTATAGAGAGCTACAGCAAAGCTCGTTCTCATATCAACTGGTAAAGTCTAATCTGAGAGGAAGCGTGCTTGACAGAAACATGAGAATGTCCGATTGCACAATCACCACATTCCATCAGCGTACATTCACCCCACCTGCCCATGCCTGTCTCTCACTCCTTCCTTCACGTCAATAAGCGTACACCTGCGATCATTCAGACAAGTACAGTTGGCACCGGCATAAGCAATATCGCCAGATCACCTCCAGTGGAAAAGCTAAACCGGTCTGGTACGGCTTGCAAACAAACTGTGTGAAATAAAAACAACGTATCATCATCTTCATACTCTGGAATCCACATCCCGTCCGAAATAACTCACCGGTTATGTAGGCACGGTTCGGGTTTAAAGTCTGAGTACTCTCTACCTGTCCCATAATCTTGCCCTGTACCCCGCGTCCCGTGTGCCCTGTCCTCTGCCTGTTCCGGGGCCCGCGGCAGGGAGGGCAAAAAACAGTTCCACTATTCTCAGCGAGCAGGTACTCTCGCTCTGTAATCCTAGACGCTGGAGCTTGCCCGTTCGTCCCTCTTTCTTACTTCACAACTTCTGTTTTGGTGGCTGACTCGCTCTGAGTCAACAGCTCCTGAAGGTCCCTCCCTCTCTCAGCAGCCTTGACTTCATAAATAACATATGCTGCTTGTCTGAAGCACATCAGCTGGCCAGGATGCCGCTCATTCCCGGTGCCGTCTGCAGGAGATGGGAGCCGGGCTCTAGTGTCTTGACCTTAGGTTGCTACACACCTTCATTTCCCAAAATGCATTAGACGGCGCAGTGTAACCTGAGAGCGGCTGCAATATGAGCAGGGGCGAGGTGGAGCGCTTGACTGGCAGGAAGTGACATCACAGATGGCTCAGGTTACAGGATGTGAGGCAGATAGTGAGGTGGAGGCACAGGCTGATTAGGTACGGAACGGAAGTCACAAAAGCAGCTGATTTAGGCCATTTATTAACCTCACGTCTAGCTTTTTTCTCGAGTACAGAACAATCTGCTTTCCAGTACCCCTTTTCACGACAGTAATTACATGACTTGTGTAGATCAAACTTCCCTGTAGGAAAACAACTCAGAAATGTACTCGACCGAGCATCTCCCCGTGAGCGCCAATCAACAAAATTGCTTCGGTGAGTAAGTACATAATCTTCAGCCAACGCTGTTGCTTGTTCAGGTGAACTAACTTTGTGTTCACTAATATATGTAGCAATGTTGTCAAAAGGGATGCTAATTTTAACCGGTTAACCGTTAACCGATCGTAAGAATTTTGATCGATTAATACAATCAGTTAAAATGATTTAAAAGTCATTTTTATTTATTTTTTTTATTTTTTTTCAGTAATTGCATGGTTAAAATTCGCTACGTGTATAAATTTTTTAGTTTTTTTAAAGAAAAAAAAAACAGCCTAAGTCATATACAAGTCGCATTTTATTATTTCGTTGAGAAATAGGCTTAATGCCAATGCAAAATGTTTACAAACATTATAATAAACAATGTAAACATAGCTAGGCTATTTTAGTTCCCCTCACTCCACAACAAATCATTTCAATTTAACAGTATTTAGAAAAGAACAAGAATTAAACATATAAGAAGCCATAGCTATAAATGACAAGCCAAAACGAATTCATTTAGGCTACAATGAAAATGAAACCAACGTTGGGTATCTCATTCGACACAAAATCAAATGTTTCCATATTCGCAATATATTTGAATGGCAAAATATTATTTATCATGTACTTCACTCGCGTTCCAATATCCACGTAAAACAAAATGTCTTGCATCACGGCAGTAAGGTGATAACGCTTAACGGCACATATTTGACTACATATTTAAACTGAGCAGTGTTTTTTTTCATATGTTTGACTGGCTGTATTTTATTATGATAATGAACAGGCAAAGCTTAACTGTGCGCGCGCATGTGGCGCCGGCGCAATCACTTGATTTTTTTTTCCTTCTAACAGTGGAAGCAACTACTCCTTTTAGTCATAAAGATAATCGCGATTGTAAAAGGTTTGCTTTTATTTGTGTACATTCACAATAAAAACAAATCTTTGTGCTTTTGTAAAATAGGCCTAAAGAAAATAGTCTTGGTTTCCTTTTGCACACCATAAAAATGAACCGGAACTCCGCATAGGCTACTTGTTGCACAATTTTTTATTTTGTTTTCTTAATTCATTATTTAAGTAAAAATATATTTCTCGTAAAGGCCTATTTATCGATATAAATATATATAGCCTAGCTTTATGATGTTTTTTTTCCGCTAGCAGAAGCGCTGCAGGTGCGTGATGTGATATGAAGACCATGTGAATCCTCATGTTCTGTTGTTTGCTGCTTTTTGTGCATGTAAAATTAATCCCTGGGAAACAAATGTTAGTATTTTTAACGTATTTATCCTTTCTAATTTATTTCAATTGTAATTTAAAATAATCATGTCGGTTAACGGTTAATATTCGGTTAACGAGCGTCGGTTGTTGTTTAGGAGAAATAACCGAAATGAACATCCCTAGTTGTCAGAGATTTGAAATTGTTCTAATATCTAGGCCTGTCGCGATAATTAAATAACCGTCTAATCGCAACTATTTGATCCGCGATTACTGTGCTTTTTATACGAGACAAGGGGGAGTTATACACCAAAAGAAAGAGAAGAGCACCAGTTTGCTTTTCATGCACTGTTTAGCCAATACAGGGCTCCAGACTCATTCTGCCCACTACTCGCTCTTTTGCAACTAACTTTCTCAGCTGGTCGCACGAGCACATGATTTGGTCGCAATATATTTATTTAATTTTTTTGCGCTACAACATGAGATTATTCAATGCATGCTGATGAACTTTTATCCTAGTTTATAGTTATATAGAAATGAAAGCGGTTAACATTCAACCCGTTCTTTATCATCAGTAGTATTATTTGTGATTTGAATTTTGTGAACGGGAGTTTCTCTTTTGCCGTGTTAAGCCGCGGGCTTTGGATGCTTTCACTTTCGAATTCGAGATCTTGTTGTCACTGTTTTGCTTACATACATCTACACACCTTTCATTTTTTTAAGACTAAAACAAAAGATTGATTCATAGTTATTCTTAATTAAAAAGCACAACAACAATAAATCAGTAAGATACAATGACAAACTAGCTTACAAAACGTTTAACAAAAACGAATAAGATGAGGCATGACACACACCACATGCTGTATTATATACTGACTAATAAATTACAGAACATTTAGAAAACACTGAGAAATCAAATAAATAAATAAGAGATCATCCATAGCGTAATGTGAGGTAAATAGCAAAGATACGTTTTTCAAAAATGAAAAGTAAAACTAACGGTGACCGCGCTTGCATGTTTTTCTCATGATTTCTATCTTATATTCATGAATGTATTTTGTAAGAATACAAATAGTTAACAGAATAAACATGTTTAAATTGTATAACGTGCACCAAAGATTTTTTTTCAAGATATTGTTTTTGCTGCTAAATTATACAGTCAGCTCGTTTAATTTCATAGCTTACATATTTTTATTCAAATGTAGTTTTCTCTGTAATGAGGAAGTGAGTATTTAGTGGATTGCGTTTAACAAAGGGTTTAAAAGAGTGAGCATTAGTTCCACAAACACAGCATTGATATTCTGTAGTGGTGTCGAAAAAAAGTAGCGCTGGTGTTGGATCGGACGAATCTTAGAATTTGGAATACTCTATGTAATCTTACACTGCAAAATAATAACTCAAAAAGATTAAAAGATAACATCATAATTATTTACTGAACCCTTAAATTAATCAATTATATAATGAAAGCCATAAAAACAGACAATTAATCGCGATAATCATCATAATCGCCAAAGCCCTAAAACAGACAATTAATAGCAATAACCGCGACTATTTTTAAGACAATTAATCGTCAGCCAAATGTCATAATCGTGACAGCCCTACTAATATCACCAATTGAATCAAATCATCAAAAGATGTAATGTCAAGTGCAGTATACCAACAAGTAAAGTATTTTCTCAAATCTTGCACTACTCTAAATGAGACCTGACGATCTACACTATACTCAAAGCAGAAAAAAAAACTAGCTGTGCTTTTCCGTTCAGTACACACTGACAATAGCAACAATAACGCAATTGTCTTCGGACCAATCCTGTAAATCAGCGATATGCTCAAAGATAGTGAAAAAGATATCAGGATCATCTTTGTTAAATTTAAGAACAAGTTTCAAATTTGAATTCAATGCAAATGTACCTCGATCCTCCACGTCGCTAGAAACAGCACCCATACAAGGAACGGGACACATGCGGATATCGGAACCAACTCAGGATTTATTAACAAAATAGAAAATGAAACAAACGAGTGCTAATGTAACCATCAGTAAAGTCAGTGGTGTAGTGTCAAGTGTATGCATGATATGTAATGTACTGTGGCCCAGGTGCAAATGTAACAAAGGGAAAAAATAGGTACAATAAAAGCAAAGAAAATGAACCAAAAGAAGGGGCCACCCAAAAAGTAGTAGAATGGCTCCTTTTAAAGAAAGCGACGATAGGGAAGCCAGGTGTGTATGTGATGAAACCACTTATGGAATCATCCACCTCCCAAATACGGTGGGGTTGAGCAACGCACACCGGATCGACATAATATGCAAACTCACTTTACATGTGTTGAATACTATATTGTATTTAGCAAAGATGCCACTTTGTGCATTCAGTAGAAATGAATCAAATAAAGCCATCGGATGAGACTGCACCTTCACATCTACCTGGAGACTAACAAACTTCACTTTTTCTGAATAATTCATGCCTTTCAAATCACCAGGTGTGTCAGGGAGGATGTCATCCATACAGTCATCCATACAGTGTGAAAAGTAACCATACAGCTGAGGTTTATCACAGTAACTATATAAAAAACTATATCTATTATTTATGGACCTAAGAGGTCATGCATTATTGTTATTAGGGCTGGACAATAATTCAATATCAATATGTATCGCGATATAATTCTTTTCAATAACGGTGATTAAGGTGATTTTTAAACACATTTCCGATATTTCGATATACATTACCAGTGTCCCATACATAGATTTATTTGTGGCGTTTGACTTCGTTGAATAAACATGAGCACTGCACGTTTCAAAATCAAAAGGCGTCGCGGGTGTTTTATATGAATGTATCTCTGAAGGGAACCGACTGTCTTCAGAATAGTTTAGATGGCATTTTTATCTGATAAAGTAGCGGTCATGAGCGGAGCTGCTTTGTTTACAGCCATTACTGGAGAAACCGTTAGTTCTGCCGCTCTCACAGCGCCTCCTGCTGGCAGACAAGCAGTTTGCATTTTCAATAATAAACCCATTTCCAGCAACATGCTTTTGTTGTTGCTCTATTCTTTTGTTGTTTTGTGAAGCAACTCGGAGCATGTTTCATACTCGTTATCCTGGTTAATGCACG